AAAAAAAAATCTCTCTATTCTTATGATGTGAGTGGAACAAATGTTGAATGAGAAAAGTGCATGAAGGTGTTTTCTCACCAAACACAGCTACTCATGCATACAAAATAGATTAAAACATGAATCTTTTTTATCGTATCAGTTTATGAAACTTTTTCATGAACATCAGTTTTCTTATATAATATATGATGCAAAAGTAATGGTACAAAATGTTTATTCTTATTTCTGTTCGATAAAAAAGTGTTGAAAGAAAATTTTTTTAATCAAACGATAGAGCTTTTTCTTCTCTATTGAGTTGTATATAACTTACTTTTGATAACACGTTCATAAACGAAATGATGCAATAGAAAAAAAAAGAAGCAACCTTAGAAAACTTTTCTATAAAAGGATCACATACAATTATCGATATTTATATCTCTTTAAAAACAATAGGTTCTGAAAAAAAAAATTTATCAATTGATAAGAGATTTTCTTCTCTTTCAAACAGTGTATAATTCATTTTTGTCACACATTAGTAAATGAAATGAGATGAGAAAACAGAAACTTTCGCGAAATAAATTTGTAATTTTTACATGGATTCATCAAAAACATCCTATCAAATGACAGTTAATTATAATTAACTGCCATTTGATAAGATATTTTTACCGATTTCAGAAAAGTCAAAGTAACCATCATTTCACAAGATCTTTTTCATTAGTCCATAAAAATCAAATTAATTGTTGTCTAACAAGATGATTTTAATGAGTTCATATAATATTTACAAATTTATTGCGCGAGTATTTTTCGTTTTCTCTTGTATCATTTAATTTACGAATGTATGACAATTATAAATAATGAACTGCTTGAAGGAGAAGAAAATTTCTTATTAACTGATAAAAAAATATTTTTTTCCAAAACGTTATTTATCGAAGAGTTATCAAATGGATATAGGAATCATCATTTAGAGTCGTTTTTCTGTTGCCTTATTTCGTTTATGAACGTTTTATAAAATAAATTATATACGATTCAAGAGAAAAGAAAAAGTTCTATCATTTGACAAAAGAAGTTTTCTTTCAGCACTGTTTTATCGAAGAGGAATAGGGATAAACATTTTGTACCGTTGCTTTTGTATCATATATTAATTTGCTGAATGATGAGTTTAATTCTTTGACAAAAGTATAATACAAAAAAACTCAATGTCTTCTTGAAAATATTTTCAATTCGAATTTTTTTTATCAGTTGGATTCGGTATTGTTTCTACTATTATATTCGAGGTAGTATGGGAATTGTTAATATCGATTCAACTTCAAACTCGTATTTCTTCTTATATGAGTCCAAGTATCTTTTCACATGTTTCTAGAATAACGTACTTTAAAGAAATGGTATCTGAATAGGTTTATCTGCTAGAAGAGAAACAATTCTTCAATACATTTCCTAGAGAATGTACTTAGTTAAGGGTACTCGAAAAAGTACCCTGTTACTAGTATGTCACAGGAACTTTTCGGTACTGAAGTACTTAAAAGTACCTTTAGGTACTTGTGTGGTACTTTGGCGGGTATCCTGCTATAAAATGTGTAGTAAATAGGTACTTGAAGGTAATGATCAGATACGCAATTGGGTACCACTGCACAGTAGGGATGGGTCATTAACATTAATTTTAAATTAATGTTAGTTTTTTCATTAGTCATTAATATTAATGGTTAAAGTTTTCCTTTAAAAACTTAATTCATTAATATTAATGATTAATGAAAAACATTAAAATTAAAATTAATATTTTCATTAATCATTAATATTAAAATTAATGTTTTTTCCATTTTATCATTAATTCATTAATATTAATGATTAATGATTGACATGAAACAATTACTACTTTATTTTGATTTTTTTATCCAAAGAAAGTTAATTTAAGAAATACTAAGAGCAATCTCTATAATTTGTCAAGGACTCTCTAGTGGTGGTCATCATAACTATTTAAGATCTATCTAGGCGTATCCGCTACAAAGGTTAACGACTGTCTGTTGTTCTTCCTTAGGAAGAAGAATTTTCATAATGCAGCTGAATTAAATGGTATTTTAAATAGCTTGAATTATTAGTTAATATTTAGTTGAAGATAAATCAGGGGTATAACATCTACTTGATTAATGTTATGCGTGTTATGCATTGATAAACCCTTTATGATTGGCATCAAGTTCAACTGTTTTGTTAAGCAATTGATGTAAAACATGTTGATTAATCAATGGATGTTAGAAATGTATAATTTAGTTTGAAATTTTTCTTGCACATAAATTGTTTTACGAGAACAGGAATGTACTATAAGATTTAATCAAGGGCTATCGGAGTTGGTAAGGCTTATTCGCCCATCATTTCTTAACGTAACATTTTTGTTATATGTTTCGGAATGCATCATTTATTTTCATAAAAATCAGATTTAATTCTTCTGCGGGTCTTTCATACGTTACTTTTCAGATTTAGATTTTCCACACTTGTGTTATATTTAATTCCGCTAAGTATAGCAAGCATACGTGGGATAGAAAAATTGTGAAACGCTATTCATAAGAATAATAGCGCATACTACTTCAACTTAGATGCTATTTAAAGGAAAGTTTATGTTTCATACAAAGCCGTATTTATTAGCAAGGTTGGATAAAAGAATGTTTACATTTTGATTGAATATATGTCAAGTTATTCAGGGTTGACGATTGCTATGCGACGAATCAGGAGAGTAGATTTACTTTAAAATAATTATCTGTTTACAATTATCCTTTCATTTTAGTTTGAACATGAATTTATAATACATATATATTGTAAAACAGAATAACTTTGTTTGATTTGAAGTAGATTCATGGCAATAACTTTTTTTATTATATTACTTCGATTATAGCAACTTCATATTAGCATCATCTTTAGCTATACAGTATTTTTCTGAAGAAAGAAATAGAAGCGCATGACGTATTACAACGAATAATATCGACAGAAATATATTCTTGCAGAAGTATATATATTGCAACAATAATTCATAGCAAATAAAACATTTTAATGCCACTTCCATAAATATAGCTAGCCTTTTTTCATAATAATTTTGGCTTCCAAAGAGCACGATAAATCATAAGTGTAGCATATGTATTAGTTCCTATTGCTAAGTATTAAATATTCTTTATTTATATGTTCAATCCGTTATCTTGATTTTACACTCAACAGAAACTGTTCTTTTTTGTAAGAAAAACTATTTTTATTTTAATCAGTAATTCTTTTCGTAGCATTTTAAGAAAGGTATCCGAATTGCTTAAGTTTAATGTAAAGAAAAACGAAAGATCAATAGCTGCATGCATAAGCATTAATAGAAAAGATTTTGTTTTAATATAAACGTCTTTCTTTTGATATTCAATGCTTAATAAAAGATAATGATATCTTTTGCAGATTATGTAAAATTAATTAATCAATAATGTACAATGCTCTTTTTAGTCAAGATTGCATTATACTAGGAGAGTAATGGTTCTTTAGATAGCTCCGCAGTATGACCCACAAAATTCAATTCCGTTATTACAATCGTTTTCAAACATCAAAGAATTTCAAGAAAAATATTTTTTAACTATAGTCACAGTCAATCTATAAGATTAGGCCCAGGTACAAATACAACGTTTGAGTTTTTGTTGGTGTCAGCAATCGATTGTTATTCAATTTTCGAGTCTTATAGTAGCGAAATAATAATGAATATTGAGACCTGTCCGAATTCCGCGAAATCTGAACTCTTGAGGAATTCTTGAACTCAAATATAACTCAATACGTACGAGCACTAAGACCAGAAGGAATTCAAGGATCCCAAGAAATTCAAGGATCCCAAGAAATTCAAGGATCCCACGGATCCCAAGGAAGCCAAGGATCCCAAGGAGTTCAAGAATTCCAAGAAGTTCAAGGATCCCAAGGAATTCAAGGATCCAAAGGAAGCCAAGGATCCCAAGCAAGCGAAGGATTCCAAGCAAGCGAAGGATCCCAAGGAATTTAAGGATCCCAAGGAATTCAACGATCACAAGGGATCCAAGGATCCCAAGGAATTCAAGGATCTCAAGGAAGCCAACGGTCGCAAGGAAGGATGTGGGTGTGGTTATGGGTGTCTTCTTTCACGCGCATATTCACAGCCACAGCCACACCCCACACCCGCACACCCACACCCACACCCTTCTTGAGCTCCTTGAGATCCTTGAGTTCATTGGCTTCCTTGGGATCCATGAATTCCTTAGGATCCATGAATTCCTTAGGATCTATGAGTTCCTTAGGATCCTTGAGTTCTTTGGGATCCTTCGCTTCCTTGGGATCCTTGCCTTCCTTGGGTTCCTTGGGATCCTTAAATTCCTTGGGATCCTTGGCTTCCTTGGGATCCTTCGCTTCCTTGGAATCTTTGACTTCCTTGAGTTCCTTGAATTCCTTGGGATCGTTGAGTTCCTTGGGATCGTTGAGTTCCTTGGGATCCTTGAATTCCTTGGGATCCTTGAATTCCTTGAATTCCTTGGGATC